ACTGTAGCCCCCTTGTATTGGAATGAGAGCCACTTCTGGTCCCAGTCAATGTACATGGGACTATGTTTTGCTAGCCAATCTAAACCCAGAATACCATCATAACCACCTAGGGATAACAGCCTGAAATCATGAAAGAAATTCTGTCCTTGACAACCCCACTGACACTGTTTCACTTGTTGAGAACATCTCAGTTTCCCTCCACCGGCTACCTTGACAGTGACTGCCTTAATTTCAGTAACTTCTGATAGAATGTGGAGTAGAGAATTATCCAAAAAGGAATGGGTGCTGCCTGAATCAACCAAAAACTTAAGTTCTGCATCCTTGATGTTCACTGGCAATGACAAAGACAACACAGATACAATGTTACCAGTAGCAGCTGCAGACAACAACATTAAGTTATCAGAGTCACTATCTGAATCCTCAATGGAAGGAGAGGAACTCTGCAACTGTTCAATGAGCTCCTGTACCACATGTAACTGAACTGTGGATTTGCACTGATGATCCTTGGACCATTTCTCCCCACAAATGAAGCATAACCCCTTTGCCTTCCTGTAATTCCTCAAGGATGTCCATTTGTCTTCAGTTGATTGTGTCCTGTGACTCTTAGTAGGTTTCCTCTCTTCCACGGATTTGGCCTTATACTGATACTGACCAGTTGATGATGTGCTTCTTTTGACAGTGTTGTACTGCATCTCTCCCAGTTCCTCATGAAGCAGAGCCAACTCATAAGCGGTGTCAAGGTCCCGGGGTTTTTGCATAGCTATCGCCATTCGCACCCCTGGTTTCAACCCGTCTATGAATCGGGTGGTGTAATGCAATGGATCGGGATTGCTTTCATATGCCGTGAGCTGGTCATACAACTCTGCAAACTGATCCACATATTCCTCGACAGTTCCAGTCTGGTTGATTCTGAACATCTTACGCAACATGTTCTGATGCAAATTACGGCCAAACCTTCCTTGCAATAGGTTACAAAATTCAGTCCAATGCAGATCTACAGTCTTCCTCTGCATCGACTCCAACCAGCGAGCGGCTGCGCCTTCAAACTGAGCAGTAGCATATGAAATCCACCTGCTATTATGCGTACCCCACAACTTGAAATAATCCTCACACCTCGATTGCCACAGCCGTGGATTAGAGCCATCAAATCGTGGCAATTCGACCCGGGGGCCTGAACTGAACTGACCCCCTTGATCCAGAACCACCAAGTCACGAGGAGACTGAACATCGCGTGGAGATGACAGTTCACGCATACCTCGGGCCGGGGGAGGAACGTAGATGTTGTGATTCCTCGCCTCTCGACTGGTTGAGGGGCCTCCCGCTCGCCCGTCGTAGTCGCCCTTGTCCCCCCGCTCCAGATCAGAGCGGATCTGCTCAATATCGAGATGGAGCTCGGAGCGGACGCCGTCGACGCGGGCGGAGATGAGGCCATCCAAGGTCTTGGTCGACTCCTGAAGCAGCTTCGTCATGGACTTGAGGAGCTCGTCGTTGTGGGATTTGAGGCGCTACTCGAGATCGTCAGCGACGGCGGTCTTGACGCAGTCATGGATATTGCGGCCCTCCGCCGACAGGTTCTCCATGGCCTCTCGCCGGCGGAATTCCCGGAACCTGGTGCGGTGCGGGTGGCGAGGGAACTCCAGGACAAAACGGCTCTGATGCCAGATGTAAGCTACTGATAGTGGATATTCGAATCAGGGGGAGGAATTCGCCATTGCTAGCCGTACAAGCACACACGCTACTAGCGAGGTTCGGCCGAAGCCACCAGATCCATCCCGAGTCCACACGCTACTGTAACAACGGTTATATCTCACGTACACCCTTAGCGGGCCCAGTTTGGGCCTGCAAGCCACTGGGGAAGATATCGATCGCGAGTGGGCCAAGTCGGAGGCCCACGAGTCAAGTCCTTGCCTTCACGCGCTTCCTTCTGACCTGCCTCGATGCCTTGATCGCTGACAGTTACTCCCGTCTTTCTCTCAAGAATACAGTTTTGATTTATTGCTAACTACTCTACTCCCTCCCGTCTAAAATAATTAGAGTTTTATGATTGTCCTAAGTAAAAAAAAACTTGATCAAATATACACAAATACCCTCTCTATAAAGAAATACTCCCTCCGTTCCTAAATATTTGTCTTTCTAGAGATTTCAATAAGTGACTACATACGAAACAAAATGAGTAAATCTACACTCTAAAATATGCCTATATACATCTGTATGTGATAGTGCGTTTGAATCTCTAAAAAAACAAATATTTAGGAACGGAGGGAGTATAAGATTGCTTAGATCACTAACTAGGGTCCACGTCATCGCCCTAAACACTATAACAAAGGGCAATGCTACACGTCCGCCAGATGATAAACTGATAATATCATCCGCCTCGGCAATTGTCGGATGCCGCCCGAAACACCGCCCGATCTACCATCCCAGCCAACTGGGCGCCTTCGCAACAGCTAGCTTGTTGCACTCATGGCTTTGCAACAAGGACCTTGTTGCAAAGGTCCATTGAGACAGCATCACTGCCCCGCCATGGCCTAAGTGCCTCGGCCATGGAGCGTCGCCGGCCGCCGGAATCGACGCTCCTCCTCCGAACCAGCACCCCGAGCAGCTGCCTCTACTCCAGCACGACAATGATGAAGTCTCACGCCGGGCACTTCTCTAGCAATTTCTGCAACCGAAGCTATGTTTCTGAAACATGTGTCTTGTTGCAATGCTTGCCCTTGTACGCTCTAACCCGGTGCACTCATTCTGCGCTTTTTGCAACCGGGGCTATGTTTATGAAACAATACCCTTGTTGCAGAAGTGAAAATATTGATCATCGAACCATTTTTCTTCTTTTTGAAACAAGTCCTCTATTGCAGAAACTTTCTAAAATTAAACCCTGTTGCCCAAAGAAAAACTTCACCATCAAACATTTATTTCTTTCTGAAACAAGATCTCTGTTGCAGAAAGCTTTCGAAACAAGACGCTTGTTGTAAAAAAAACTAGCTGCACGGGACTGGTCGCCAGTGCGAGCGCTCGATCAAAATCAATCTAACGACAATACAGGCGGCGGATGTTGTGCGGGCATCAGCCGGCTGAAGGTTAGCATTTTCCCTAAACAAAACAGACATATTCTTCTACCGATATGGTTGGCCCGGGATTTTATGAACTCACCCAGGTCTAGGCCTGCCACTCAGGTCCCAAAGCCTAACAAACAAAACTCCATCGAAAGCGGGTATCAGGACAAGTGAAGAAAATATAGATCCCAGACTTCGGGACGCAACAAAAAGACACACATCATCGCAAGGCCCATACCGTTTTGCCACCTTCGTCCTCAAGGGAGGCGATCCCACAGAAGCTACCATAGGTAATCTTTATCAACGAAAGAGATGCTTACCACAAGATTGGGGGCAACGGCAAAGGGCATGATATGGTAGCTTCCGTGGGATATGTGAGCATACAGAAACACTTGGTATTTCTCTAAAATTCACTGCACCAAACACACCCCTCTTTAATTTTGAAGATTCAGTTACTCCCAATAGGTTTGCGTCTTCTAAATCATGCAATTCAAAGATGCCCTTAGTTCAGCAGCTCGGAGTGACGCGTCCCCCATCGGCCCATCCTGTCAAAATGCTGCCACATCGGCCGTCCTCCACGCCCACGAGCATCATTTTTTTATATAAGGCAAAAGATTTACCATTTTCATTGATTAAGGAAGAAGATTTTAGACAACTAGCCGCAAAGCGGGGAACAAAGAACTACTCTCGTGGCATTACAATATTCAAATGGGTGGCACCTGCCAAAGCCCAAAGATGGGCCTCCTCTTTGATCTTCGCGACGATCGTCATCGTAGTAGCGGCGGTGTTGCGAAAGACCCTCGCATTGTGCTCTTTCCAAATCTCCCAAGACATAACATGAACAAGGAGGCGATTGCCTTTCTCTGGTTTCCACGCTCAATCACATTTTTAATCCACCATTCTCGACGAAACCTCAAATCTCCAGCTCCTCACCACATCACCATGTAGGCCAATCCACGCAGCAACCTGTACCCAAATACGTTGGGAGAACCTGCACTGGAAGAGAATATGCGCCGCGGTTTCCTGAACTTGCTTGCAAAGCGGGCAAAGGTTGTAGTTTGGCCAGCCATGACGGAGCAATCGATCGGCCGTCCATACTCTGTTTTGAATTATCAACCAAGCAAAAAACTTGCACTTCGGAGGAGCCCAAACCTTCCAAACAGCAGTAGGCATGATGCTAGTTGTGTGTCCTGCAAACTACGTCATATAGACAGTAGACGCCGAATTCTTCTTGAGTGGCGAACTTTCGATGGATAGTATCTTGCACACTATTGTTGAGAATAACAGAGGATAGTTTCTCCCAAAGTGTGCTCCGGGGTGATTCCATTATGGATATCAATCTGACTAACCCGCCCACGAGCATCATCACCTGGTCCTCCTCTCAGTCGCCGTCCCCGTCACTGGCTCGCCTCCTTCTCCATGTCCCTCCAAGCGGCCGCCGCCAGCGTCAAGGACTAGTTGCGCCACCAGAAGATGCGACCCGACCCCGGCTGCCCGGCGGCGCCTCCCCGCCGAGGATCGCTGACAGGATGAAAAGCCCCCAGATGATGCGCAGAAGGTACTGAACGCCCTGCCCCTTGAGCGCGCGCCTCCACCGCCGCGTCGGCGTGGTCTCCAGGTAGGGTACTTCCACACAGCGCGCTTCGGCTTCTCGGAGTCGGAGCTCCGGCAGGTCGCCGTCGACCTAGCCTGCCATGTGCTGCCGCTTACGGTCACACCCATTTCACAAAGGAATCCATGCCAGCCACGTTTCACCATTGAATAGGAAATTGTGCTATGCTTGCGTTGCTCCCTCGCACACTGAAGAAATCGAAGAATTCGTTGATTTGGGATTGCTTGCCAATGTACTACTTCGGTGACACATTTTTCCTGCTTATTTTGCAGGTTTCTGCAGCGCTTGATGCTCTTGTGGACATTGCCGATGGAAGAATAGATATCCACGTCCTCATGGCTCTTGCAGCATTTGCTTCTGTGTTTATGGGGAACTCATTGGAGGGTGGCCTGCTTCTTGCAATGTTCAGCTTAGCTTATATCGGTACATATGTTGACAAATACTGAAACTCTGCCCATAGTAGCTCTTGTTTGTGTGCGCACTGAAAACTTGTTTTATTTGCTTATTATAGCCGAAGAATACTTTACGAGGAAGTCAATGGTTGTTGTGAGAGAACTGAAGGAAAACCATCCAGAATTTGCACTTTTATTAGAAACGAGTGGAGATAAGTCAACACGGTTTTCTAATTTAAGTCATACCAAGGTTCCTGTGCAGGACCTTACAGTGGGTTCTCATATTTTGGTCAGAGCTGGTGAGGTGTGTTCTTTGTTTATATACAAAGTCCACTCCTTGTATCTCCAAGTTTTGTTTCATTGCATCATGTCTTCATGGTTGATAGCTATCTTGATGTTTCTATCTCTTTCTGTTGGATATTCTGTTAGTGTTTCTAGCAGTAAAGTGGCACTCCCTCCCTTCCAAAGTAGATGGCCTTGCTTTTTTGTTCTAGAGTACATGTATTTTATAGTTTTGGGGCAAATATTTAGTGATACTCTCTATTATGTCCTTCGTTTAATGCATGCTGCAGTTAGGCTAGTATAGTCTCTTAAACACATTTCTTAATTTTCTTGCCAAGAGCTCAGGCGCCATTAAATTGGAACAGAGGGAGTATATCCTAGTGTCTTCTTTTCTCATGTTGGTGTTATTCTTCTAGCCCATATTGTTTGGATCTCTATCTCATCATGGTGCAGTTTTCTTGTATTCCTTAGGCTGTGCCTATTGATGGAGAAGTTTACCAAGGTTCATCGACAGTCACAATCGAACACCTCACTGGTGAAACGAAGCCTCTTGAAAGGACGGTGGGGGATGCTATACCAGGTGGTGCTAGGAACCTGGAAGGAATGATGATAGTACAGGTTGACTTCTTTCTCTCTTCACTGAAGAGATTTTTTTTCTTTTACATTTTGTTCTCTAGTCCCAGGATAGCTCATTTTCCTTAGCTAGTTTATTTAATGATTTCAGTACATTAATACTCCACAAACACTACTACAATACAGCTGGTGGAACTCTTTAGTAGATTTTATTTGATATTTTTTATCTGAGAAATAGCAATGGCTGCTTGGTATGACAAAACCAATAAAATCAGTATTTCCCTATTCATGGTTGCTACATTATAGCCAGTCCAGATCAGACTATGGCTGGCTTACTCGGGAAGCATCTTTCTGCACCTGGATTACAGACTATGCCTACCTCATGGATTGCATCCCACCGAGCAAACCTGAGAAAATCCGGATCATCACAGCTGTGGGAAGCACCCCGGGAGGCGCTTTCTCTATATGCATAGGCTCTGCAGTGGCTTCGTAAAAAGCCAAATCAAAAGCCTGTGCGTTTGGTTTGGTGGCTGGCTTTTTTTCAATGGAAAACCAATAGGAAGCCCAAAGAAATAAAACCTTAAGCCATCTCATTGCTACCTATAAACCGTTCAAAAACTGAGATCCACCCATGTATTTTGACTTAGAAATCCCCATCAGCCATGTATTTCTTATGGAGCAATTGGCATAGCGTAGAGTTATCCTTGTGGACAATCTTCCACATACATTTGTTGATTAGGCGTAGGTTTATTATTCTGGTAAGCACCTCAGACATTATATTCATTAAATCTGCAATCGCTGCAATTTATCTTGCGACATCTAAACTTACCTACCAGGTCCTTGCCAGAAGACTATTATCCTGTATTATATATGCCACCGTTCAACAGATTAAGCCCCATTATGTACATAGGAATGCTGCTCAAGCACTAATTGTTAAGGATCAGTTTATCCCCTGAAGACAACAATTTACTCTTCCAAATGCATAACCTTTTTGTTAACTTGTTAATCAATCCTTCACTTGGGAATGTTGATGCTTTTGTTTGACATGGAATCGCCCTCTTGCAGGTGACCAAATCATGGGAGGATTCAACACTCAACAGAATTGTGCAGTTGACTGAAGAGGGCAAGATAAACAAGCCAAAGCTGCAAAGATGGCTTGACGAATTTGGAGAGCACTATAGCAGAGCTGTTGTTGTACTGTCTTTAATGGTTGCACTACTGGGACCATTACTCTTTAAGTGGCCTTTTTTTGGTAACTCAGGTATTCCTCTAATGTTACAGTACATTACATGCTTCAGTAATTTGTGTTGGACTGCGTATTTTTTTCTTTTGTATTTTGACTTGGCACTTCTCCAATAGTTAATGCTATGTCTTGGAAAACTGTATTTTTTGGCAATTTATACTGAACTGGTACAATTGGCTCTAGCATTGAACTTTCTGTGTTCCAATTTTGTTTAGTTTGTAGGGGTTCAATTTACCGTGGGTTGGGGCTTATGGTGGCTGCATCTCCATGTGCATTGGCGGCTGCTCCCTTAGCATATGCCACTGCTATCAGTTCTCGTACAAGGAAGGTATTGCTTGAATCTTGAAGTCTTTCTTTATAATTGGCTACTTTTTTCATTCAATGTAAGACACTGCCATTTCAGCTTCTAAATTTCATGAGAGCATTTGGTGCTTAATCCAGATTGTTTTTGTCAGGCTAGTTTCGATCTACTTTTCTTTAATGGTACGTACTTGTATCCTATGCACAAGTGGTGGTAGAGATCAGAGGATATTAATCTGAATCTTCTGTTGAAATGATTGGTGTTGCACCTATGAAGTGCCTATTAGTAGTTTGTCCGGAATGTCTTTCGATAATTTACTATGACCTTTTTGTTAGATGAACTTCTTTCTTCAGAATTTTCCGGTATATTGGTTTCATTCAAGCTCATTTTTACTCCTTCTGTAGGGAATTTTGTTGAAAGGCGGGCATGTATTAGATGCTCTTTCGGCTTGTCAGTCTATTGCATTTGACAAGACAGGCACATTAACAACCGGGAAGCTTATGTGCAAAGCAATTGAGCCCATTCATGGACATTTGAATGTGAGAAATAGTCTTAACGTTTCTTCTTGCTGTACTCCGAGCTGTGAAAGTGAAGCTCTAGCAGTTGCCGCAGCCATGGAGAAAGGAACAACCCATCCTATTGGGAGGTAAGAGAATGGATAACTTTCTTAAACATGTTTGTTTTGTTCATTTGCATACAATTTTCTAAAGTAGAACTCTGCCACACTTGGGAATGCCAGGCATGAGTTGAATCTAAGTTGTTACGGCCCAATATAATGGCATGCTCTAGGCCAAGCATGTCATGTTTAGTATAGTGTTCTGCTGTTGTCTATTAGGACATCGTAAAAAATGATGTTTGATATTTTTTGCTTTTTATTATGTTTGGGATGATTTTTTTAGAACATGTTTTGTTCAAGATGATGACACCAAAGTTAAACAGTATAGTTTGCAATTACTTTGAAAATCTACTCTTCTATCATGAATTCATGGGTACGTACATCCACCACTTGCACATGATTTGAAAAAACATAAGCTGCTGTGCATAGCACACAATGCTATTAAACGTGAAACCATGTCAGGATGGGTCTTCGTGCTATTTAGTCAGCTTGACTAAGCCTTGACTAAGTATATGACAGTGTAAAACAGAAAACTTACTGATGATATCAACTTAGGCTTGGCTTATCCCTGAAGCCTGAAAACTCCTATTCTGGAAAAATTAGGCATGGATCTTGCTTGATTTTCCTCGTTGTAAGATGCTAAATCACTCAAGAATAGGATTTTATTTTGGGTTTCTGTATCAGCTGGCTTCCTGGCCCATTCTGGTTTCATGCAATGCTTATTTCTGTGTTTCTCATATGCACTAGGGCTGCCTTGCACTGAACCAGCATGATTCCTGGCAGGCTTGCATTACACTGAGCTTGTGCACCGAGGAGGCAAAAATAACACTTTTCTTCCATTTTAAATTGTCTTTTCCCACCATTTTAGAGAACCGAGTGTCGCTCAGTTGGCTTGAGGCGCGAGTGCATGCTCAGCTGACTTGGGTTCGAGGCCTGGCTTTCGTGGGGAGTGCTTATGGATGTTTCTAATTAAAAATGCAACATGTACTAGTGTGTCTTGGTCAAGTTTTCCTTCCCACAATTTTAAGCATAATGTTGAGGCTTTCAAGGTGTAATTTCGTTCTTCATCTTCACGGGTCAAGCATGGACATAAATCTTTGCTTCAGGAATGCCTGAAAAAACACATAATACATCTATGACATGGGCCTTTGCAATAGACATCTGTGAAGTTAGATTAAATTCTACTTTGTACTCCTAAGTGTCCAAAATTGACACAAAGCAACCCATTTCAAAAATTGACCACTTTGTATTTAGTGCTGCATTTTCCACTTTGTACATGATTTATCAAAAATGTGCGGAATCTGACAGATGAGGCACTACTGATGTGGCATCTAAATATTTAATAATCATCCAGCTCAGGCTAACGAGAGGGCCTATTTGCCAGATGAGAAATTTGATAAATTGGGTACAAAGTGGAAAAGGCAACACTAAACGGGGGTACCAAATGGTCAGGTTTTAATATGTTACTTTCTGTCAAATTTAGACACTAAGGGTTACAAAGGGGAATTTACTCATAAAGTTAATAACATACAATGTTTGCTCGAGATGCGGATGGGAATGACTCTGGCTGGGTGAGGTGGATGGATTGTTCAAGTTGTGGCACGCTGAAGATGGATCGAGAGGAGCTTGACAGGAATGATGAATCGAGAACGAGGTCGACTGAAAAACAAATTGGTTGTGCGGAGAGAAAGCAACTTAAACTCTAAAACCTATGCTCTCATACCATGCGATGAACTTGACTTGTATATTCCAGGGGCTCAAGGCCAATATATACAGTACATGTTCATGTGTTGTATAAGGATACCAAAAGCAGCTATAATACATATCTAACATAATATATCGCAGGCAGTTGACACACTGAGTTTATGATTCATAGGGCAGTGTTACATCACTCTGTTGGGAAGGACAAGGACCTCCCAAAAGTTCTTCTACAAAGCTTCGAGTCCTTACCTGGTAGAGGAGTTTTTGCTACTTTAAGCATCACAAAGGTAATGTGTACATCCGCAATATATTTCAACCAGCAAAGTCATCTTGAATCATTAGATATATCAAGCAAAGATTTTCTGTTGTTCTACGGGATTTTGTATATTTGATTTCAACAATGAAAAGAAATTCATTTCTGTACAGAAATAACTTTTTAATAAAATGGAAGTAGGAAACTCTCCTACTGTTCTGGAGTAAAGAAAACAATGAACAGCGAGGGTTGGTTTTTATATCCTTACGTGTTTATTCCATCTCAATTATTCGAGAAACGGAAGGAAAACAATTGTAAAATATGTTTTCTTTGCTCGAAAGTTAATTTTGACAATATTAAGAGATTAAAAAAGAAGCCTATATAGTACACCTATCTTCATGCTCTTTGAAGCTGACTGTTTTCATTGAATGATGCATTGAAGACTAGCAGTTGTTTTGTTTAATCAGTTTTGAGTATTGGGAAGAGTTGGACCTTTAATTTCTAGCTTGGTCTCTCATATACCTGTGTTACAGGCATCAAACAATGAAAACAAACTCTCTACGGCCGCTATCGGTTCTGTGGAATATATTTCTTCGCTATACAGATCAAATGGTGAATGTGAGCAGGTACAAGAGGCAATAAAAAGTTCTGCATATGGTCCTGAATTTGTCCAAGCTGCTCTATTAATGGATAAAAAGGTGAGCTAAATTAGAGTAAAACCTTCTCATTTCACAGCATGCTTCTCCCTGTTTATTTCGATGTCCTTTTTATGTTGTTGCGCAGATATTTATCTTCATGTTTGATGGAAGCATTCATGTATAACTAGGGAAATTATAAATAAATTATGTCTTTATCGTTAGTCTAAGGTGGATTGGAGTCCAGGCTGTCAAATGCTGATAAGTTGTCTTAATTAAAAATGGATTATATTGCAGACTTCCACATGCTCATAAGTTTTGTTACTTCAGTAATAATTTGTGACGTGTGAATGCTCTTATGCTTGTTGCTTGCTGGTTTGCTAACATTTAGGCTGCATCTTCAGTTGATATTATATTAACTAATAGAGTAAAGTGAAAACTAAAACATAAATCAGATCAAGTTTGAAATATACAAAAGCACTGTTAGTCTGTGTAGTGGTGTACACAAGTTTGAGTATATTGTTAGTGCATGGGGTAGGAAACCTAAGACATACAGTGCTATGTACAGGCATGCTTTCAAGGTACATTTCATGGAAAATGTAGCTGAAATTAAATCAGCTAATTTCGTTGTATACCGTGTGGAGATGGGATTTTTTTTAATGTAAGATAAATTGGGATTACCTATCTGGCCATTTAGTTTCGTTGACCTTTCGTGGCCTCAGCAATTAAATCACTCATGTCCCATCTATTTATAGCACAATTCAGGTTGGACATTTGAACCACAAAAGCTGTCCAGATGGCCAAACATTTGGTCCATCTGCTATGGATAGCCTGTCTATTTTGTACCCCTCCGTTCACAATTATAAGATGTTTTGGATATTTCAATATAGACCACATACGGACTGAAATGAGTGAACAAACACACTAAAATGTGTCTATATACATCTGATTCAAATAAAAGTTAAAACATCTTATATTTGTGAACGAGGGGGTACCTTCTTTAGGTCTTTGGCCCTGATAAAATTTTAATCCTAATGTGACTGCATTCGGCCTGACTTGGAAAATAGAGTCCGGACGTATGCTTGCAGTCTCAACAGCAGTCTTGCTTTATTTGGTCTGGCCAAAGGCCAAACCAATGGCAAGAAGCTCCACTTGACCACTTAGTATCATATTTCTGCCAGTTTCTTCTGTCAACATTCATTCAAATGTGTCATTACCATATAAAATGTACGTTATGTAAGAACTACCCTCCAACGCATTATTTATTCGCTGATTGATTTTTTTCCAGATGACCCTTTTCCACTTCGAGGATGAACCCCGTCCTGGTGCCTGTGAAGTTATATCCACCTTACGAGAGAAAGCAAAACTTCGCATCATGATGCTCACTGGAGATCATGAATCAAGTGCTCTGAGAGTTGCTAAAGCTGTTTGTATTGATGAAGTGCACTGCTGTTTGAAGCCAGAGGACAAACTGAATAAAGTAAAAGCAGTTTCAAGGCGAGGTAGTTCCTCTTCTTTTCTATTTTATTGTGAACCGAAACTCAGTATCCTGTTACTACCAGATTTCAGTTCTGCGATTGTATCGGATTCTTTTAGTTTTCTCATATGTTATTTAATTTTCAATATATCTGTCCATAATTAATCACAGTTGTTGCTTTCTACATATTTTTGCCATCGTGCTAGCTCTCCATGATTCAATCCAATAATTCTAACTGTTGTCTTCCAACTTCAGATTACTATTGTGATGTTAGGAAAACCTACCAGCTACGACCTCAGCATCTTTTGCCCATAACAAAACATTTGTTGTGTATAACTGAATTGTTGTATCTTTGAAACATTGTGCACTTCTCAACTATGCATCGTAGAGGTTCTGTTCTGCCAGCCAATATGATTAGTAAGCAACACGTGGGATTCAGAGAGGGAAGGTAATTTCCTCGTTATTATTTTCCTCTGTATTTGTTTCCAGGTGGGAGTTTAATAATGGTCGGCGATGGTATAAATGACGCGTCAGCTCTTGCAGCTGCAACTGTTGGCGTCGTTCTAGCTCAACGTGCCAGTGCAACAGCAGTAGCTGCTGCAGATGTTCTGTTGTTGCAGGATAATATCTGCGGGGTGCCATTTTGTATTGCTAAAGCTCGTCAAACAACTTCACTGGTATTGTCACTTATGGGTATCACTGCAAAACACATTTTGTTGGGATATAACGTTTTTGGTTCTTACACTTTAGGTTCATCCTTGCAGGTCAAGCAAAGTGTAGGGCTTGCCCTAACTTGTGTCCTTCTTGCTGCGCTTTCTTCTGTCTTGGGATTTCTTCCTCTTTGGTTGACGGTGAGTTTGTTCCTCCATGCAGTATGCTACCTTGCTAATACACCTGTGGTTCAATGAATTTTGACGACTGATTGATCTAGTGACCATATCCTAACACTGGCATCATTGATAATGTTGTTATGCTGTGAAGAAAATCAGTAAAGCTAGACTAGGCCGTATGTTTAATTTTTGTTGTTGTTGGAAACATTGTAGTTCCATTTGAAATAATGCTACCACCGGATATGTGATCTGCGCCTGTGCGAAAAAATGCAGGTACTTGTTCATGAAGGAGGAACCCTTGTTGTCTGCTTGAACTCGATACGAGCCCTCAATGCGCCTACATGGTCGTTGGCAGATGAGATCCAACAACTTGTTGATGGCCTGAGGAAGTATATCTCGGCAAAGTTGAACAGCTCCTCAAATTATGCAGCTAATACTGCCCCGTTGTAGATTTGTATAGTGACAAATATCTACATGAACCGTTGGAATTTAGGTGGGGGTTGTGGACCTAATATTTGTAGGCTGTACTCAGCTCTCACAACCATGTAAGTAAATAAACAATGCTGATCATCCTGTAACTAAACATCTGATCAGGCTTGTTCGATCCTCCGTAAATATTTTTCTCCTGGAGTTTAATTCTGTGCTTGGTCCTTGAATTATTGTATGTGTCTCGGTTTAGGTTTTGAACTAATATAAAGAGTTAGCTAATACATAAACTTGCAGCGCGGTAACAATATCATGCGTAATCTTGAAAACCCCATAGAAATGATACAGCAACTTCTTAACAGCACATATTCATACATTTCCATCAAATCCGACAGATGCCGTTTGTGTGGGTCCATGTCAGCTCCCTACGTAATGTGTGGGTCCTATGAATGTCCACTTGAGCTCCCTACATAATGTGTGGGTCCTACCTGTCATTGAAACGGAGAAAGAAATAGTGTACAATAGAAATGGGAGAAAGGGAGTTCAAACCCGAGACCGGCGACTATCTGGGCATGTAGCACGAGCACCCGGACTATACGGCATATGGCTAGGAATACAGTATTTGTCACTATTTGTTGGTACTTAAGGATGTCTGATGGACACAAACCCTTAAAAAATACAAACGAAGTGGCAAATGGTTATCACAAAAATAAGAAACAAAACTTAGACATTCAAAAGATCGATCAATTGAAGGTGTTATCCGGCAGCATAAATGTCGGCCCATCGTTATCTTATTGAAGGTGTTGGTTCAAAGATTTTCTTGGAAGGTGGTAGACTTTGGTCTGGCATCTAGCTGGACCATGGACCAACCAACATTTGCGGTGATTCGTTCTAGAAGGTGTTGCTTTGGAGTGTTGCGCCGTTTGTTTGCCGATACATCCTCTGTCGGTATGGTGGTAGGATTTGAAGATACTGCAACGAGATTTGTCCTTTCTTTCTTTCTTGAAATAGCCTTTCGCTCCGCTTTATAAATAAAGCAATGATCCAACCAGTATCCAAATCCAAAACAAGAACGTCGGCCGGGGCAACATCACAATCATGCCCAATAAACAAAAGAGAAATAAGAAAAAAACCACCTAGTGGCTGCCAACAAGCGGCCGGACGATAGTCGACGGCTGTAGCCAGAAGCGCATCCAGCATGAGGCCAAGGTGAACTCGGTCGCGCTACCTAGAAAGCGGGCGTCAGTGCTGCAGAAAAGCAAGGAATTTGAAGAAGTCAGACGCTTGCCTTGAAAACACCCACTCAATCACCATTTTATTACGTGTGGTCCAAAGAGTACACGATATCGCCGCAAAAATAAGCCAGAATAAGTGGCGATGTCACCCAGGTTGGATAGCCCTGGTCTTGAGAAACTCCGCGAGGTCCAAGGCCTCCCAGTAGGGTGCTAGTGTTTCATGGATGAACGTCCGTAGGATCCGAGCCGCCATACATGAGAATAGGATATGGGTCCCAATGTCAGGTACCATGAATAAGGGGGCACAAGCCACCCACCAATCCATGCCACTTAAACACCTCGGTCCCCGAAGGGATGCGATCTCTAAGAAGTTGCCAAACAAAATCTTGGTATTCAAGGGCAAAGGGGCCTTCCACAAGGAAGAAAGCCAAGGGGTGGTCGGAGACCGGCGAGTTGACAGAGAACTCAAACGACGGAGGGAGACGCCTGGATACGGTGTCCGGATAGTCCGGCAACACCGGCATTAAGGCAGCCTGCGGTCCTTTCTTTCTTTAAGTTGTTTTGTTTGCATATCAATAATTAATAATATTTTTTTGAACAACAAAAGATTTTATTCCATTAGCAACATTTTACAGAGAGTGGTGTGAAAGGTCTCACAGTAGACATGGCGAGGACATCTCTCGCAATACAAGATCCTGCATCTGAAGAGAGACAACGAAAAGCTAGACGCCAGTTTTGGTCGCTAACTTAGCTTGATGATGTGCTTTGACATTAAAACACCTGTTGATGTGTGCTACTCTGGTGTGGATAAAAGATGGCAAAACCTGTATAGAAGCAAGAATAGGCGTTATATTCCAGTGAATTGTGACTTGAAAGATGGAACTCGCCCCTGCTGCCGATACGAGTACGGAGCAATCCGTGTAGTAGTGGTTCTGGGATGAGAAGAATTTCTGCTAACATTGTAGCCAATAGAAGCCCGTATGCTTCAGCTTGGAGAGCGGATGGCACCGGAGGAGACATAGCTGAAACCTACAGCTCCTGACAATGACCATTTTCTCCGAGTTGGATGATGACACCGATACCTGCTGGCGATGTTTGGATATTGTCCTCATTTGTCCATGCCGCATCACAACAAATTCCTTTTCCTGCAACTAAAGATGGGTCTTGTGTGGTTGATGGTTGTTGTACAACAACACTTCCTGCCATCTCATCTTCTAGTTTTGGGCCTTATGAGATCGCATTTGCCACCGGGTGTACCTGTGCTGGTTTACAAAACTTTCTACCAAACAGAGCATCATTTTGTGCTTTCCAAAGACACCATAAGAAAGTGTATACACTAGTTACATTGATATGGGGATGAGCAGAATCTATTAAAACCTTGAGCATGTGTGGAATGGAATGATTATGTTCTGCCAAAACTTCTGTTCTAATATACCAGGGAGAGGAAAACCAAGTAGCCTTTGAGAAAGGGCATAGAAAAAGCATGTGCACTTCATCCTCCTGGTTGCCACATCTAGTACAATTCTCACTAATATGTCTCGAGAACTTACTTGCTCGCTTACCCGTTGGAAGTGCTCGGCGAAGAAGTCTCCATGCGAAAGTTTGAACTCTTAGCTCAATGCGTTTGTCTTTCCAAACTTGATTGAGAAGATTTACAATCTGCGGTGGAACAGATTTTGGCCGTTGGTTTGCTGGCAGTGGTAGATTATTGAAGCAGTGCTTGTAGGCACTTTTCGAAGAGTTGTCACCTGCAGGGGTTAGCTTCCAAACCAACACGTCATGTCTAACAGTGTTAACTATAGGAGTTTGCATTATAGCTTGTGCAGTATTAGGATTAAACAGAGCATTGACAAGATTGATGTTCCAAGTTAATAATATATGACTAAGTGCATCAATTGATGCAAAGGTTGAGGATTTGTCCTCATTAAAAAAATGATATTCAAGTGGTATTTTTTCCCCACAATGTGCTGGCCCGGTAAAAATTGTAGGATGTGGGAATGTTGTAGCTTGACCCGTCATTTCTGCCGTAGAAGGGAAAGAAAAGAAAAACAAAACAAGAGGGAGTCGAAGGACGGAAATGGAGTACCCATTGACCTCCAGTATCATCATGCCGCTCCAGTGTTCGTCCCCTCCTCAGAGCACGTCGCGCCTGCACACCGGCCGCCTGACCTGTCAATCGGGCACGGATCATGGCCGGCAGCGCCTTCCATCGGTAATTGTAGCGGCACCGGCGGAGGCAGCCTCTGACATGACCTCCACGCCTGAGGTTTGACACACCAACTTGGCAAAAGTTTGGTCCTTCTTTTCCCCGGGTCTATTTGTGCCTGTGCTGCCCGCCCCCGTCATGATTCATGCCTCTTCCTTTGTCCAGGATTAGTCAGCCTGTTCAATTCACACGAGTCATGATCATTTTATCCGACAGTATCAGGGTTGGATCTTACTCGTTTGCCGAACCGAACCACGGCAAGTAAAACGAGGCAGAAATAATTTGAACCCATGAGAGCATCTACAACCGGGTGCCCATATCCGTCCCAAACATCTGGATAGGCTGCCCGGTCACTGTTCGGACAGAAAAAAGCCATCCAACTAGGTTCGTCGTACGCGGTCCAAATGCCCGGGTTGTTCGGTGTGGGGCGAATATGGGGAGGCCTGGACGCAGACACCGCCGCGACGTCAGACCGGCCCAGTATGGCCCATGTCGCCCCCGCCATTGTCCCTATAAAACCCCCGGCCGGTCGTCCGGACCCTAGTCAAACCCCACTCGCTCGAGTCTGCTCTCCCTCTCAGCTCTACTCATGTCTCCTCCTTTCCATTTCCACAATCTCTCCCATCGCCTCCGCGATGGCCGGCCGGAAGTGGACCTGAGAGCGGCTCCGACAAGATCGACTGGGCTAAGCTGGCCTTCGACTCGTCAAGCTCATTCGCGCTGGATGAGGAGGACTCGTGCTTCGCATTGCTCTCCGTCGCTCGCGGACAGAACTGCACGGGAGCTCCTCCTCCACGACGTCGCTGGTGGCTAGGGTAGGCAACTATAGCTCTGCGGCGCCCCGACGCTGCCCTACGAGGTCTGCCTTCCACGGTCAGGCGGCAGGGCGATCAGCGGCACCCGACACCGCTAGCAGTTGCTCCTCCTGCTGGGAGCCGCTCAGTGCTAGTGCCTGCACCATCGAGGCCGCGATCACAATTGCAACAGACGAAGACGGAGGGGCACTTATTTTATCGCCATGAAGAAGGTGGCGCAGGCCGCGTCAAGCCGTTGCGGCTGCGGGTCCTCCAGATCTAAACCGGAGCTGTTACCGCCCGCCTCTGACGACGGCGAGGCACTCCATGACGCAATTCGCCGCTCCTACACGTCAGCAGAGACGAATGACCGCCGTCGGTAATACGAAAATGAATCGGCGCTTCGCCTGTTGCTCGAGGAGCCCGAAAGGTTGGCGATGCAGAACCACAAAATATATCAGCAAAAACCGTCGTCGAAACAATCCCTATGTTTTGTCTAGCATTGGTTGGTTCCAAAGATTGTTCCGCCCATCATAAAAAAGATTGTTCTAACTTTGCTTGGCTACAATGTCTAATAGGTCGAGGAGGCATGAGATCACATAATGTCATCCGCTTGATCCCCATCGAACGGTACATGCGTGCCAAATCCTTCACTGGATAGTTGCAAGCCGATCCATAATCAATCCGTCTATCGAGATAAGGACAACCCGAGAGACATCAACAACCACCACTATCCTAGGACGCTGATCATTTGGATCTCGGTGCCCCGCCTTGTGCTAGGGCATGCGA